CTATTTCTTCTAACTGTTTGTCCATGAAAGGCCAGTATACATAACTGCGGGCAAGCGCCTTCATCCGGTTGATTCCAGGATGCCCGGCATGGAACTGTCGAATAAGGCGCTCCTGAAGTGCCTCGAGACGTCGATTCATCACTGTGTTAATCAATGGGATCCCAACGAAACTGCAATTTGACACGGCCTCAGACATCACAAGCATTTCCAGGCGCACATGGAATCACATAAAGAGGCCGAAGATGATTGAGTCCCAGAAAGTTGCACATAATGCATCCGGCGGTGTATTAAACTTAGTGGGCGAACTCAATTGCAAGATTGCTTTCCAAGGTGTGGAGACTTCGGGAACATGCTACATTTCAGACCGGCCCAATTTGAATTTTCTTGGCCTCGACTGGATTGAAAAGTTGAACCTCCTCGATGTTCCCTTGAATCAGATATGCAACCGAGTCCGAGCAAGTCCAGACCCATCTGCAAAGTCCGTTGAAGACTTGACACGTACCCTGAAGCGAAAATTTGCTTCTGTCTTTCAGGATGGCTTGGGCCACTGTACGAAATTCAAGGCAACAATGAACTTACGACCAGGTGCTAAACCAGTCTTCAAGGCCAAAAGACCGGTACCATATGCAGCCATGTCAACCGTTGAGCAAGAGCTCGATCGATTGGAACGTGCCGGAGTCATCACAGCAGTCAACTACTCATCATGGACCGCACCTATTGTCGCAGTGAAGAAAGCAAATGGCAAGGTACGCGTCTGCGCTGACTTCTGAACTGGCCTTAACGCCGCGCTGGACGACCACCAGTACCCCTTACCTGTACCGGAGGATATCTTTGCAAAGTTGAATGGTGGTAAGTAATTTGCCAAGCTTGATCTATCCGATGCTTATCTGCAAGTGGATGTTGACGAAGTCTCGAGTGAGTTGTTGACGATCAACCCTCATCGTGGGCTATTCCAATACAACCGCTTGCCATTTGGTGTGAAAACGGCGCTAGTCATCTTCCAACAGTTGATGGACACCATGCTAGCGAGCGTTTCTGGAACCGCTGCATATCTGGACGATATCATAGTGATGGGTCAAACACCGGAAGAACTCTTCAACCGCTTGGATGAAGTGCTTGGTTGCATACAGTCGTACGGCTTCCGGATCCGTGAGGATAAATGCACCTTTTTCACGCCGCTCATCAAATACCTCGGGTTTATCCTCGAGAAGGATGGACGTCGACCAGACCCGGAAAACATTGAAGCCATTAGAAAAATGCCTCCACCCACAGATCTACAGTCCTTGCGTCCCTTTTGTGGGCTCATCAGCCACTACAGCGCATTTTTGCCTGAGATGCACCACTTGCGTGCCCCGTTAAACAAGCTATTAGCCAAAGGACAACTTTGGAACTGGACATCAGAATGCCCGAATGCCTTCGAACGCGTCAAGTCGCTGCTGTCTTCGAACTTGCTTTTGACACATTTTGATCCCTCCAAAGAGATCGTCCTAACTACAGATGCATCAAGCCATGGGATTGGTGCAGTAATTCACACACATACACCGATGGACCTCAGAAGGCAATCGCCCATGCCGCCAGAACACTTACGAAAGCCGAGAAGAATTACAGCCAGATTGAGAAAGAAGCATTGGCCATAGTGTACGCGGTTAAGAAATTCCACAAAATGCTATACGGCCGCCGCTTCAAGCTTCTGACAGATCACAAGCCCTTGCTGGCTATCTTTGGTTCGAAAAAGGGTATCCCGGCCTACACAGCCAACAGGCTACAACGTTGGGCTCTTACATTAATGGGGTATGATTTCGAGATCCAATATCAGTCGAAAGATTTCATTGGCCAAGCAGATGCACTGTCACGCCTAATTGATACCCGTCAGCAAGAACATGAAGACACTATCATTGCCTCGGTCGAGATTGAACATGACGTCAACTTTCTGGTAACTGATGCACTGCACGGTCTACCAGTTACCGCAGAAGCTGTACGGACCGAAACACTTCGGGACCCAATACTCAAGAAGGTTACTCAGTTTCACAAAACAAGTTGGCCACGTTCATGTCCACCTGCCGAGTTGCAACAGTTTTTTCAGAGGAGACACTCACTCTCTATTGTAAACGGTTGCATACTATTTTCGGAAAGAGTGGTCATCCCCAAGGCACTTCAGGAGCGCCTTATTCGACAGTTCCATGCCGGGCATCCTGGAATCAACCGGATGAAGGCGCTTGCCCGCAGTTATGTATACTGGCCTTTCATGGACAAACAGTTAGAAGAAATAGCCAGACGCTGCCAAAAGTGTGCCGATGTCTTGAAAGCGCCACCGAAAGCAGAACTCTGTTCATGGCCAATAGTTACTAAGCCGTGGTGCCGCATTCATGTCGACTTTGCAGGGCCGATCAACGGATGAAGTTTCCTCATTATAGTCGACTCATACAGCAAGTGGCCAGAAGTATTTCTCATGGATAACACAACCACCAATGCCACCATATCGAAACTGCGCCAAGCCTTTAGCAGATTCGGCTGTCCTGAAACAATGGTCACTGACAAGGGCTCACAATTTACTTCAGCAACGTTTAAGGAGTTTTGCAAGCAATGCGCCGTCCAGCACGTTCGCTCGCCTCCGTTCTACCCACAGTCGAATGGCCAGGCAGAAAGATTTGTCGACACATTCAAGCGAGCTCTCCACAAATCGTAAAGGGAGGGACGTATAGAGGAGGTGGTTGACCGGTTCCTTTTCCTCTACCGATCAACACCGAATCCACAAGCGCCAGATGGAATCTCTTTAGCACAGGCCATGATGAACCGGAAGCTCCGCATGCCTTTCGACGCCATCCGACCGGGCTCGGAGTCCTCTGTTGGTGAAAGAAACCGCAGAATGTAACAGGAGTTTAACCGGCGGCATGGAGCAAAGAAGCTATCATTCACGCTTGGACAGAAGGTGCTAGTACGTGACTACCGGGAAGGCCATGCGAAATGGACGCCAGGGACGGTCAAAAGCAAGAGTGGAAACGTCATGTATGACGTGAAGTTAGGCGCACAGGTCTGGCCGCGGCATGCAAACCAGTTACGGCCCACATTGTGCCAGCCAGAACAAGAAAGGCCAACTGACCTCCCGTTCGATTTACTGGTGGAAACTTTCAACCTGCCGAAAGTAACAGTGGACGACTGCACAAGGTCGAGCAACGAATTCAGAACAAGAACATCGGAACAAAGTTCTCGGGCGATTCTGCCAAGGAGGTGGACCGACAGGCAGAGAACACCGTCCCGAAGACTGCAAGTTAATCCCAGGCTTTCGTCTTATACCTCGGACCATATCTCAGGAGGGGAAGTGTCCGGGAGAAAGTAAGAATTGCCTTGGAAATTCCCTATTTTAGCGATTAATCGATTATTAACGATTATCGCATCGATTTCGAACGTTCAGGAATGTTCTTCTTCTGCACGTGATTAAAAGCCACCTGACACCCCGGCAAAAGATATGGGGAACCACTAACCTTGGCAGCTGACCTTCCAATTCTAGAAGTCGAAGGTCAGTAGAGACCTATAAATACAGCCAAGGTCCGCAGTCGTTGTACAGTGTTCGTTGGCGGCGATTAATACGTTGTTTTGTCAAGGTCATTGGCGTTTTGCTTTTTTCCTTCGGTTGGGCTAGGAGTTTTGTGGAGCAGTGAATTGTTATTTTTGGAATTGCGTCTAGTGAGAAGATTATAACAGTAAGCAGTGTAGTCCATGATTCATAAGTGGGTGGGATACTACCCGGTTGCCCAGGCCGAAGCAGAGGGTTGTCTTAGTAGCCCTACCTCGAGCCTTTGACCATAGATCTAACCTACAAGACAGCAGGGCGATGTGAGGGCGTCGCAACCCGTTGGGAGCCGGTGACCAAATAGATGGTTCATACGCCTTTCGGTTCGTGAAGGACCAGGGGCCCCACGTACCCTTGAAGTACAATACCTCTCAGGAAGGGGCAAGGGGCAGTGACTTTATTTAGTGGCGAGTCACATCCGCCACGTCGCAGTGTTGTTACACAGACATTTGTGGCTTTTTATATGGAGAACGCTTGCCAGGCGAAAACGTACCACTTCCTGGAACACTGCCGCCGAACACTTCTGTGAAACGTTGTAGACCCGAACCACCCAGCTGGCATCACGAGAAGGCTGTTCGGCAAGCCAGCCGCAGATCCGAACTGAGCCATCAGGCTTCTGTACAGGAACGACGGGTGCAGCTCAGGAAGAGTGGCGTACGGGTGTAGTTATTCCATCCTTTTGTAATCGCTCTAACTTTACCTTCGGACGGATTGCGAAAGATAGACTCCGTGCCTAGTGAAATTTCGGTGGAGTCTGTGGCGTAATATTCAAGCAAGCTTTGAACTCACGTAATTTCCCATGTATGTTTGTATCGAAAAAACTGGCAAAGCTTTTCAAGAGGGTAGGCAAGTCAGAAATACTGTCCAGCTTCTTGACAGATTGTAAGATTTCCGGCACGTACTTTATCCAGTTCCTACCAAGCAGATTAGATCCGTCTGTGTTAACAACGATGAGAGGAAGAGTCAACGTATTGTCCCCATGATGTACTGTGACGTCACACACCCAAAACATCGAGTATTTCCCCAAGGTATGACCGTAACTTAGATTGAGCCGGAATCAGAACCAGGTCGGGCAAAGTTCGGTTTTTGATCAATATAACCGAGATCCTAGTGTCGATCTCCAGACGTACTGGCTGGCCTTCAATGTTTAAAACCAACAGTGTACGCGGGTATACCTATTGCGTGCGAGGTGGTTGTGTGTGAAAGTAGATAGAATTTGGGACCGTCAGTGTTTGCCACAGTTCGAACTGTACCCTGGGCAGGGCGGTGTATCGGTCGTTGAAACACAGTCGAACGACATACTCGTGCAATATGTCCGACCTTTCTGCACTTATGACAAGTAGACTGCTTATGTCTACAACCAAGAATCTTTTCATGCTTCTCGCCGCATCTGTAGGACGTAAAGAAATATTTGTTGGTATGTGGTAGTCGAGATTTAACCGCATGGACGCCATCTGATGGAGAATCGATTCGATACTGAATTAATTATTGCACAACCCTTTCCCTTTGTCTGACCAGTGAGCAGGCTGTTTCCCAAGTGAGTTTATTGTCATCTTCTGACAGCAAACGCTCTCTAGCTTTATCGTCTCGAATGCCATCCAAAAGGCACTGCATCGCCATCATCGCTTGGAATTTCGTTACGGGAATTTTATTATAACGGCACTCAGGAAGGGACTGTTGTATACTACTGATGAATTCATTAACACTCTCCTCTTCTCCCAATCGTAAATAAGAAAAAATTAGGCGCGCAGTAAAACATGTTGCCGCGGCCCCCAAAGGTCATCCAGCGTGTTAAAGCAGTCCATCAGGGATGTGCATTCGTACAAACGCAACGCAACAAAATACCGTTGACCTTCTGCACCGAGGTATTGTCTCAGTAGTTTGGTAGATTGGGTTTCACTAGGTTTGATGTGAGGGTGTATAATTGTGAAAAACCCAAAGGAGTCACAGAAGGTTCGTTTCCAACGGTTCCAAATTGCTAAGGATGGCTTGGACGACGTGCCCTTCCAAAAGGGGTCAGGCGGCGTAAGATGGCTCATAATAAGTTATTCCAAGTTTATGCTTCGTCGCTAAAATGTCACAGTTTAGAAATTTTAGAACTAACGCACAGTGACTGGCTCTTAGCCGAAGTATCACAAAGCAAAACACCTCAGGCACATGGAAGGCCAAACTGTGTTCTAACCGACATGCACAACGTATTGATCCACTATTCTAACTAGACCAATCGATAAATGGGTGGTTACTGACACATGCCAGCGGATGCAGGCAGCGAATAGAAAGGGCTCAGTACATAGGCCGTGAGGATGCCACAGTAACTAAGGAACTTTCTATATCCTGAGGCTTCTACTTGCCTAGATACAGTCGAAGTGCTGAGTGGGATGGCTTGAACTTCTTCTTGTGGGTCCATATTCATCAGGTCATTAATATTATTAATGATACTGGCGAAATAATATTTTCTGCAACATTAAATGGTCTCCAGTTGTTGCCAATCATCTTGAAGTTTTACGAGACGCCGTAAGTCTATCCACCTTTCTTTGCTCCGTCAGAAATCACTGCCTTTAAATTTGACCAATCTTCGAAATTATCCCGCAGCGCTCTAGTGAAATCCACAGACTTCCTGCTTTCGTCCTTATGAGCACTTACTAAAATATTTTTCAGTTTATTTGGTCGCATACGTTCATTTGAAAGTGTTTTGGTAAATTAAGCACATAGGTAGAGTGGAGTTTTGTGGTGATGCGATAAATCCAAATGATACTTATTCCACGGAGTACTGCCGACGCTTCTCCTTTGCCGAGGAGCTCATCCCTGAAATGTCTTTGTAAATTGTCTATATATATATATATATATATATATATATATATATATATATATATATATATATATATATATATATATATATATATATATATATTGATGGTAGTATCAGATCAGAGGGAGCAGATGGACCAACTGAGCGAGCCAAACAGCCAATGGGAGGCGGATGTGACGGATTTCATTACGGGAGTCGGATTGGCCGATATTATGGGTGATTCACCGTTTGTTTAACTGAAGCAAATGAGGAACCTCATCAACTCAGCAGGATTGTTAGTTATGGGCTTGAACCTGCAATCTATGTAGAGGAGTTTGGCTTACTAAACATGCTGAAATTTCCGCTGATCTGTCTTTACCGAATAAACGCTTGTACCTGAAGGACTGAGTTCTGCAACATATATATGCTGCTTTTGTGTTATTTTTCTTACACAGTTATATCATGTTGATAAAATAACATCATTCGACAAGGCGAAGTAAATAGGGAGTATGGATGATTGGTGACATTAAATTTGACAGTCCATCCTTACATACGCGTGACGTGCGTGCTCTCGGGTCATTTAGATTATTCCCCTCTCTATCCTCTCTTCATCTGTTCACAGCGTTGTCACTGTACGCTCATACGGACCGGCTCGACGTGCTCTTTCCAACGCGCAGCGTATTTCGAATCCACGCATTACAGATGACTAACTCGTCGATTTTTACATTTCCCGTTTTCTCTGGGGAGGTTTACACGAGAAATTGCTTTCGGTTTGCATCCTACACCACAAATTGTGACCTTTTATGGTAGCCCAACATAAGGGCTCTTTAACGACTACACGACTGCTTTTATCGATAGCTGTGTAAGGCAGATACAGGCAGCAATATAAGGGATCTACCGCTAATCTTTCGATTGTGTCGCAGTCACTTCAAATCAACCCGCCGGCCACACACCACTAGTGCCACACCAAGAAGCGCCCTGACCAGATCGATAGCCTGTGCTTCGTTCCGAGGCCTGTCTGGATTCACCCGCAACCGCTTGTGACCTGTCATTGGCAAAGTAAGACAACACGTTTGGAATTGGTGGAGATCGCGTTACCAAAGCAACAGAGTGTGCAACTCGGAGGCGGAGATTCAAATAGTTCACTGCGGTGCGTTCTTTTTGTTCCTAATTAAATCGCACAGTTTCCAGGAGTTGCCATTTTTTTACCAACATTATATTAGACGTGGATTTTCAGTTAAGGATCAAAAGTTAGCACCCATTGTCTAAGCTCCTCTGATTTTGTTTCAGTGTATCTTACTTCGGTTTCATTATCATGTCTACAGTAAGGACAGGCTTCATGAGGAAAAAAAAGTATTATGAGCCAGGATTCTTCCATTTTAGTTCAAAATCTGAGACAACGAACTAAGGTACTTTGCACAAAGACTGGAAGCAGTAGTAAAGAAAATACCCGAAGCAGTGTAGGCACTGTAGGAAATTCCCTTGGACTACATGCTGACCTGAAACTGCTGAAACTGCATACGCTGAACTTGCATAAAAGTCGACATGCTCACATCGATATTGCAACCTTTGCAGTCTATCTGTCTTATTTGAATCGCTCCCAAATATTGATAGAATGAACCTCATGAAGTGCAGTGTACTGATAGACTCAATTTCGAGTGAAGTACACACTCGAGTACGCTGTTCACGCAATGCTGTGGTATTTAATATGCCAGAGAAATTACCATTAAAAACCGTTCAGAAATTGCTTTTTACTGCATGCAGGTATGCAATCTTGTTGGTCCAGCTGCATCAGACTACGAAAAAATGTAATGTGTTACGCGTGTCCCATACTTTTCCAGTTTCAAAATGAACTTTCGCTAAACAATTTATTCAAAAGCGTAATCTCATTGCGCTTAATACGACTTTCAAAAGTCTGAAAATAATGAAGGACAAAACCCCGCTACAACGAGAGATAAGGAGGAGAACGTTTGAGGTAAAACAGTATACCCAAAAGCCATATGGCGCCCCTCACCCAGTTGATATTGCTCCACTTAGTGGCCAGCACAAATGTGAGGATAATACTCCGCTTGCTGCAAATAGGGACGAAGCAGTGAATGATCAAGTGATTTCTGAAATTAACAAGGAATCACATGAATATGCGGACCACTCTATTAAATTAGATGCTGTGTCTTGTAGAACACCTAATTCTCGCCCTTCGAAGCTAAGGTCAACGTCAGATGCAAACTTAATTACTGAAGGACCTCCACTAGACCACAGTTTCACGGCTAAGTGTGATAAGCCGACCAAGCCCAAAACGACTACAATCCACAAAACTAGTGATGTACATGGTTCTTCCTTTTGGATAATCAGTTCTGGCAGTCATATAGGGTTTCCTAATACTCTTGCCTGTATGCGAAGTGACAACATTGGGATCAGCGAATAACAACCGCATTATCTGCTAAATCCCAGTTGCATGCAAAAGCGCTATCTAAAGCCTCGAACTGTCATGTCCCGCCTAGTCTGCTTTTGCCAGTGTCCAATCTCATCGAGAATCTCGATGGATCCGGTCAAATTGATTCATAGTAAAAGGACGGTTGACCTAGATTTATCGCAAGCATCATTGGCCGACTCTGTATCGTCATTTTGTTTGGATAGACGTACACCCATTGGTCATAAAGTTATGGAAGACGTGCCGCCATCTTTGCACCTTACACGGTGTTTATAACACAACCTAAAGAATCTTCCTCACATCTCAGATCTATTTCATTGTTTTTGATGAACATTCGCTCTTTTTACTCTGAGATCCACACACTACGCTCGTTTGCTTTGGTGAATAATCCTGATATAATATTTATAACTGAATCTTGGTGCCATGATGGCATTCTGACACTCAGTTAACTATTTTCGGATATAACAAGTTTATGAGGAATCGGCCTGATCGTCGAGGTGGTGGCTGTGTAATTTATCTGAAAAAATCGCTCGCAGCAGCAACATTCGATAACCCAGTGTTGAACAATGTTCAGGAATCCCTCTGGCTGACGATATCTGTTAATCAGCAACAGATGCTTATGGGATGTATATGCAGCGCGCCAAACGGCAGTCAAGAAGACCTAGAACTTTTGACGCTTGCATTTGAATGCGCCGCTGGCCTACTATTTTTACATAAGATTATTGGAGGTGATTTCAATCTGCCTTCGATTTCATGGCCCATAGGAACTGCTCCTTTGAAATACCAAAATTTTATATCTTGTATCCAAATGAATGGTTGGCAGCAACAAGTCTCCCAACCTACCAGAGGTGAAAGTACTCTGGATTTCATTTTTTCATTGGGCATACCTGCAATCAGTGTTAACGTTCTTGATGAATTTCCTGGGAGCGATCATCGCGCGATCAAATGACGTCTAAGACTACGCATGGCCAATGTATAGCAAACAAAGCATTATCGTCTGTTCAGTTCTGTCAACTGGGACTCAATCAAGGACCCGGTTCGTTCCATGAATTGGGATAAATTCTTTATCTCTTCATGTCCTCAACATGCGACGGACCTGTTTTATGGTATAATTGGCTTCTGCATCGATTCAGCAGTACCACTAAAATGTGCTTACCAAACCAAACATAAATCCGATCTCAAGGTGGTGAAGGCAGCGCGAACGCTTCATAAGATTCGGCATAAATTCGAGTTAACTGCTGACTTTGCGCTATTATTACAGCAGTCGAAGCTCGTCGAAGAACAGAGGCATCAACGTGACAAAACTCTTATTCTAGAAGAATATAAAGCTTTGAACGGCCCTAGCAAAATAGCTGAGCTAGCCAACCTATTCCGTGCCCGGGATTCGCGTTGCAGCGACAATCTCAATTTTATCACCACGCCTGATGGAACATACTACGACGCACCAGGTGATATCTGCGAAGCTTTCAGTGCTTATTTTTCCGAATCAATGCTCATTGAATCATCAGACACACCAATACTTATCATGCCGCACAATAATGAAGGTCTATACACCGTGGAATTCACTATGGCGAAAATCACTGGTCAAGTCGCTCGCTTATACTCCTCAACGTGCGCAGGCCCTGATGAAATCCCCCCATGTTTAATAAAAAGCAGTGGTAGTGACTTCCTTCTGCTTCTGCTCAACCTCTTCACACTCTCTTTTGACAACGGAGTATACCCTACTCAATGGAAAACTTCTGTCGTTATCCCGCGACATAAAAATGGCGCTGCCCACGAGGTTAAAAACTTTCGTTCCATCAATCACACACCCATCGTATCTAGGATAATGGAAAGGATATTGAAAGATGAACTATTTATAATCTTGAACAACGCTAACATTACCAGCAATTCGCAATACGGCTTCATGCAAGGTCGATCTTGCACAACATGCCAGACTGACTTTTTAAACCACGCAACGACTGCCATTGACA